CCTCTCTGCTAAAGGGCTTCACTTTATGAGCAAGAGTTGGCTGCTGATAGTTATCATTGCATTTTAACTATTTTAATTCCTCAAGGTGCTCTGGCACCCTGCCTGATTTGTAACTCCAGTTTGCAGGTATTTCTAATCTAATGATTGGTATTTAGGGCAGCTTTTTGCAAGCAAAGAAGCTTTTTGTATTTTTGTACAGGTAATCCTTGACTTACAACAGTTACAATGGCACTGAAAAAAGTGACTTATGACCATTTTTCACACTTAGGACCATTGCAGCAAACTGTCATTAGGGCAAAGAAGCGATGCCACATGACCTCCTGGCCACGCCCACCAGGTCACATCAAGCACCGCACTTGTGAAATGAGTGACACGGTTGTTAAGAATGCTGCAATGGGTATAAATGATGACTGGTCATAAGTGCAAGGACTGGTCTAAAGTGCAGGACCTGTCAGAAATCACTTTTTTCGGCTTCCGGTTTGCTCTTCGTAGCCACCAGACGGTCTCTCGGGACCGCCAGCCCCTTCGCCTGTAAAGAGCCGCCTGTACAGCGCAAAGGTGGCTCGAAAAACCCCATTTCCAGGAGGAAATGTGGGATAGAGCAGGTGAGTGTAGGTAGAGCTCTCCGTAGCCCCCAGGGTTTGTTTTTTTTTACTCTTCGGGGCGGGCGGAGGAAGCTCCCTATAGCACTCGCCGCCCGCTCCGGGCGTTGGGAGACTTCTGCCTTTTTGCAGAACAAGGCTATGAAGACAAGCTTTTTAAGATATTTAACAGATTAACTAAAGATGATGAGATTTGGATCTGGACCTGTGACCCTAAATTGCAAGTATTAATACTTATTTCGCAAAGGATATTCAACAAAGTAAAAAAGACCTTTTAAAATGGCGATTGCCGAAACTGGAGCAGGGAAGCTGAAAAGAGAAAGTCCTTCCGTTTCTTATTAAGTTACAAAGTAGCAGAATAAATGCTCCTGGCTACATTTGAAGGGATATGAGCTGGACCTGTGACCCTGAATTGCAAGTATCTCATTTATTTTATAACAATTATTGAAGAAGGAAAAGGAAAAGGAAAAAAGAATCTTTAAAAAGGGCGATTGCCGAGGCTTGAGAAGGGGCTGAAAGGGAGAGTCCTTCCGTTTCCTATTGAGATACAAAGTAGCTGAATAAATATTTTTGGCTACACTTGAAAATAAAGCTCTACTTTTGTGTTTTTTCTCTTCCTGGAGATTTGATATTGATCTTGGTTGGAAAGAAGTTTTTTTTTCTCTGCTGCCTCTCTTTTTTTTTTTTAAAAAAAATAGTTTGTCTGTGTTGAAATATGGCATTAAAGCTGGACAAACAAGCAATGGGGGGGGATTCCCCCATTAACAAATTACGTGACCAAGTTTTAAAGCTCCAGTCTCAGAAAACTGATTTTAATATAATTGAATTTCTTTTGGAGGAGATTGTAAGAAGGGATGAGATTGTGAATCAGAACTTTGAAAAATTTAAGCAGGAAATTAAAGAATTAGTGCAATTAAAGTTTGATATTCTGGATCGAAAGATTATAAAAATGGCTAATGGCTTTGTAGAATTTATGATTAAGTTGGATGGAAATACTAACTTATTAGAGTCTAAAGTGGAAGAAATTGAGGACAATTTGGATAATAAAATACAAAAAATTGAAAATGATTTGACAAACATTCAAGACAATAGCTCAGAAGAAAAACCTAAAATGGAGGTTGAACAAAAGTCTTGTAATGCAGAAAATTTACAACAACGGATTGAAAGAGAGGTCCTAATGGTGCATTACAATTTTACAGAATATGCGATCAGACTCAGAGGTTTGCAGGAAAATAACAGAGATGATTTAAGGAAAATATCTTCTGAAATTCTGGCTGGGATTTTAAAGGTTCAACCTGAGGAAGTGTTTTGTAGGATTGACAGAGTGTTCAGAATAAACTCCTGGATTGCAAAGCAAAGGCAATTGCCTAGAGATGTGGTGATTTATTTTACAGATAAAGAAATTAGGAATAATGTTGTGCAAAATTCCTTCAATTCTACTTTGCAATTGTATGGAAGAAAGATATGGATCTACAAAGAGCTCCCCCCCAAGATGTTAACGGAAAGGAAGAAATTTGGTTTTCTGGTGACTGAGTTAAAATACAGAAATATTCCATTTAGGTGGGATGCCCCAGTTGGCATAATATTGAGATATCAAGGAGAAAGATACCAATTAGATACTGTTGAAAAAGCGGAAGAATTTTATCAAAAAATTTTGAAAATGAACTTAACATCTATAGGCACAATACAGGATAAGCAGAAGGAGTTGGAAATAAAGGGAAAACATCGAATTACAGAGGTTGCGGTAGACAAATTGCCTTTGGATTCTCTCGATACCCCAGCTGGATTATCTACAAATATGAGAGAAGCGGCATCTGATTTCAACGTGATGATTCACCAAGTTAAAGACAAGTATGGAAATCAATTAGCTGATATACAATTGGCAAAAAAGAAATATGAGATACAAAAACAAAACCAACAAGATCAACTTATAAAGCAGAATGAAAACCGATCAGTTGATATACAACTTGTAGAAAGGAAAACAGGATGGAAATTAAACCCACAAAAAGAAAAGAAAAAAAGAAATAGGTCTCATAAAAACAGAAATTTCTAAATTAAGCAACGGTGAAGCCAGTGATTTTAAAAAAATGAATGAATATGTGAAAAGATAGTGGAGGCGAAGTATTGGTTAATATCATCCTGAGGACAGTGACAGACCTCTGCAATGCCGTAATTTTGGGATGTGAAAAGAGCCTTAAACTGTTGGATTTGAATTATCTATTTTGGATTTCTTTCTTGTATTGATAAATATATTATAACTATTCTGAGCTACAAGGCAAGAGAGCTACGTTGGGGCATGCAGAAGATCTGGTTGTTACCCATTAGGATGATGGGAATTAATAATCCTGATGAAAGCCACAATTACAACTATATGGAATATAATCATAATGTCACTCGGGTGGTTGTTTTTACTTTTATATATATATGAGGATATTCATTACTGATGGGGGCAGATGATGACTGAAGACTTTGAACAAACTGTTGCACCAGGATGCTACGTTACCCAATTATGGATGAGGGACTCAACAATCCAGTGGAAAGACATCAAAGAAGATATTATATGGATTATAAATTTAAAGTTATTGTCTTTTCTTTTTTTAAATAACGGAATATATACATATATATATATATATTTTAGCAGAGTGGGCAGTGGATTAAAGATATTAAGAATTGTTGTGCATGGTAATTTTGTAGGAAAGTGGGTGGAAATATGTTAGTCTACTGATGGATTAGCTTAAGAAAAGGGATGTTTAAGTGATATATTTAGGGCAGTGGAGGAAATGGATAGAGTTGAATAAATGTTAAATTAGGATTTATGGGGAAGGCTGCTTTGAAATGTTATATTAATATACACAAAGAATAAATGTTAAAGTAGGATCTATTATACAGTCTTAAAGTGGAAGGTTGCTTTGAAATGTTGTAATAATATATAGATATAAGTTTTGGGGAGGACAAAAAGGGCAGATTATTGCTAAATTGGGAGTTATAATAATATTATGCTAAACTAGAAGTTATCATACAATGTTATAGCAGACTGCTTTTTTTTTTGAAATGTATGGTAAAAGGGGAAAGTAACAATATTAATAATACTTTTAGTAAGTAAGGGTCAGTATATAGAGGAGGGAGTAAGGCGATGTTAAAATATTATGTAATCTGTTATGAATTAGGTTTTTGGTGTGAAGAAGTCACGGGGGGATGGGTGGCGAGGGGGGGTTAGGGAGGAGGGGGGGAAGGAAAAAAGGGGGAAAAATTTGTATTTGAAAACTTTTTCAATAAAAAAAAAAAAGAAATCACTTTTTTCAGCCCTCTGGGTAGTCCCTATATGCATATGGATTACTCTGAAAAAATTATTTTTGACCGGTCCTCACACTTTTGACTGGTCCTCGCACTTACGACTATCCTCACATTTTACATTTTGCACCCTATCTTGTCACCGTGGTGAAGAGAAGCAGTTGTGAAATGAGTGACACGGTTATTAAAATGTTGCAACGGGCATAAATGTGAGGGTTGTCATAAGTGCGAGGACCGGTCAAAAGCGCAAGGACCGGTCAGAAATGACTTTTTCAGCCCTCTGAGTAGTCCCTATGCACATAGCCACAGGCACCCGGTCACATGACCAGCTAGCCACGCCTACCCGGTCACATGACCACTAAGCCATGCCCCCTCAATAAGCGACGCCCACAGAACTGGTTGTTAAAAAAATTGAATCCCACCACTGAACCAAAGGTATCAAAACCATTAAGGCATCAGCATTAATCATGCTGTTGAGAAAAGTTCTGAAAAACTGTAGGATTCAGTTGCAGAGATGATTTAATCATTTAAGCATCAATTAGAATATAACGTTTATTTGAACAACCAGCTACAAAAATACCTGTACGTAAAAAAGAACTGATAGAAATAAAGCCCAGTCTGGATTCCTGATTTATATCATGATGCAGTTTTCAGGAGGTTAAAAAGCTTTGGTGAGTATGTTCAATGTCTTACACAAGAGTATTTGATTTAATAATTGGCAAATGAATAATCAACAAATTTTCGGGAGAAAAATGTTCAATGCCAGGAGAGTGACCTTCTAAAATTTAGTCTTATTTCACCCAGGGCAGGTACTTTGAAGCAATGAACATTCTAGAATTGGATATGGTAGGAAATCTTTCAGTAAAACATAAATAATAAAAATTAAGTATAAATTACTTAAGTAAAGTAGAAAAATGGAAGGCATTTTCCTTATTATAGTAACTAAATCTATTAAACTTTCTCATTTTCTATGAATACTAGCGAAAAGTTGTAGATATTATGTAATACAGTACAGCTGAGTAGAATACCCTCAAAAATCGAAAAAGATCACTTTTCTCCATAATTCTTTTTTTATGTAATTCTGGATAGCAAGAATATGACTCTTACCAATAAATATGATCTTTTGACACATGATCTTGTATGTGAGTCCATTTTATTCCCAAATCAAGAGATGCATAAAGCTTAAAATGAAAAAGAAGAAGAAAACATATTATTATTTCCTCTAAGAGCACAAGGTAAAAGCACAGGACTCTTCCAACTTTTCCCTTCAACAAGTTGTGAGGTAGAGTAAAGTGAATGGTTCAAACTCACCCAATGAATTTTCATAACTGACAATGGACTTGATTTAGTCAAACATCTTAGTCATTACCCACCTGGCTCTTTCATATTTTAAGATATTTAAAACATATTTACAACTTTACATAGTTATCCATAATATTTTTTGCCAAGGAATAAAGCATATACAAATTAGTACTAAAAGCTGAATTAATACCAGAGAGCCAAAATAGCATACATGTTTGTTACGGATTTTTAATGCAGATTCATTTCAATATTAAGCAAACATGATTAAGAATGAACCCAGTATTTGGATTCCTGTAAATAAACACAGTGCATAGAGACTGGTTCACATGCATAAATCAATCACTCAGTAACTGCAGGACCAACTAATGATATACAACTGCAAATAAATAATTGTTCCTAAATGTTAAGTTTAATGCCATTTATAATATGATTTAATTCTATATGTGATTATTCATCAGTAACTGTTGGAAATGATATGCATGCAGATGTGATATGAAGTATTTTGGAAAGGTTTCCTACATTGGCTATATTACAGTATTTTATGTTGTAAAATAATTTGATATTTCATACTGTTTCTCCAAGCTGTCCAGAACATGTTTCAGATATATCAAAAGCAAAGCCACACAACATTTTTTAGTTATTTACCTGTCCCTCCTTGGTGTAAGCAAGCACCTTATCTTCCTGCTTTGGATGAAATATCAGTGTTTCCACAAAAAAACTAATGGGCTGCTTTTGAAAAGTAGCACCTTCATCTGTACTAATAAAAAGATTCTGGTCCAGGTCATTGTGGGAAGAACTTACAAGAATTATCTATAAAAGAAAAAAAGCAAAGCAAACAAATCAGCCAAGTTCTAATATGATCTGCACATATTTTTATTTAATTAAAAAATTTAAGAAAAAGAAACTAAATAAGCAATGCCTTAGGATCAATTGATTCCAAATAGATTAAAAGAAGTATTCTGCCAAGTATTCTGATAATCTCCTAAATTCTCACTGCTTATCTAAAGACTCCTAAAAATTGAAGCTTAGCAAAACTGCAGATTTTCTAGCTTATCCCTAGAGGTTTTCACATAACTACAACTCTCACATTTTGTAAAAAGAAGCAACAAGTTTTATCACACAAACTAAGGCATGCTCTTCTGCACTTCTAGTAAGTGGGACTGCAGCCTAATAATCTGAGTTTAGGTCTACTTTGTATCAGAATCAGCAAAGAAGTCTTGGGAGGAGGAAGCAATTTAGAAAGTATCATGAAACTGGAAACTGGAAAAATATATCCATTCAACTTACCTTTCTAACACAGTCATGTATGCTAGGAAAATGAATATAACAAAACTATTATTTGTTATAAGCCTTGTAGAAGACTTGTGTGATGATGAGGAACCAAAGGGACCTTGGAAGGCAATGAATTAACTGACCCAGGACCCAACATCAAGCAAAGAAGAAAAGGAGTCTGTTATTACAGAATCTGCAGCCTCAGATACTACCCTAGATTCCACAATATAAGCTTGAAGGTGTGACTATGATGGGCACCCACAGAGGAGACAAGCTGTGGCCAATGTCAAACACATATTGTGTTGCAACTTTTGCCCAGTTTATACTTGCATTATGATGCTGGACACAAATTTGTAAAGGATAGAACTTGCATTATGACATCAGGATGCATAGTTTTCTCATTCTGGAAAAAAATCTCAGCTTGCTGCAGAGATTTTGACAGCTGGTACAGACAAAGAACTCTCATACATGTGTGACAAGGTAAGAAAAGTCCTTGGATTAGTGATCTCATTGTTACTCCTTGCTTTCTGAATGAATTATATACTACCAACTGAATTGAGATGAAAGCCAGAAGCCTTTTATATAAAACTCTCTTCTTGCTTTGGAAATGACATGCATTTTTACGTGTGTCTGTAGCCAGTTGCCTTGAACCCACCCTGAAGATTCTGACTGACTTCTTGGATATTTATTAAATTGATACTTAATCAATTTAATTGATTTATATATCTGCCCTACCTCACATACATATCTCTGGATATCTTACAATAAAATAAATAAAATATGTACAATACAAAAAATATAAAACACATAGCAGCTGGCATTGTAAAACAAACATTAACAATAACCAGGTGATGGGCTATTTCACAGGCTTGAGCACAAAACCAAGTTTTCAAGGCTTTGCAGAAGGCCAGCAGGTCCCCACAGCTTCAAGATAAAAAGACAGAATCTCCATGGCCTCCCTTAGGCCACCTGGGATAGAAATATAGTGTCATCATCCCAAACTGTCAGATTACCTTGCCCAGTAGATGTTAAAGAGGAAGAGAAGAAGTATTCAGCCATGTGGCACTTCATAAACGAAGGGCCATGCGTTGAATTCTGTCACTTATCAATACCAACTGAAACCAACCCTGGAAGGAGGAAGAGAATAAGCACAATGCAATACTGCCCACTCTCAATTTCCAAAGTCAGCACACAAGGATACCAAGTTCAATGGCAGACATGTCAAACTCAAGGCTCGTGGGCCAGATTGCCTGTGATGGATTTAGATCTGGCCTGCAGGGCTGCCCTGGAGACAGCGAAGGACTGGCCCCCGCCACCTCAGATCCAGCCTGGCGTTCCCCCTGGGCGTGCACACAGGAGGCAGTGAGCATGGTAAGTGTGGGAGAGCCAATCGGCTGCTGGCCAACAGCAGCTGCAGCTCATTGGCCCCTTAGTTGCTCATTGGCCGGCAGTGACAGCCAGCTGGATGTGAGCTGGGGCAGCCAATAAGCCATGCTTGGCCCCACCCCACCTGAACCACACTCGTACCCCTAGGGCCCCACACACAGCCAGGCCACCCCCACCTCACCTCCTGCCTCACCTCACCTCACCCCGTGGCTGCAGCACCAGTAGCAGCAGCCCTGTCCAGCAAGAGCCCTGCAACCTCTCCACTCGCCTCCAGCCTGGATAGCCCGTGAGCCTGGAGAGGAAGGGGGCCGGGGCTGGGCTGGGCTGCAGAGTCTTCATGCCCTGGGAGCTCGAGGGCCAGGCAGCCACAGCAGTTTCTATGGGAGAAGGGGAATGGGAAGGAAGGAGTGGGAGAAACAGACGCCAGCTGGATACAACAGTTGTCAGGAGCTGCTGCCGCTGCAATGGAAGTATCACAGCAGGATCGGTTGAGGGAGTGGGAGGAGCAGAGGTGGGTGGCGAGCTTTCAGAGTATTTGATGTGGGGCTCCGCAGAGGCCGCCATTGCCACCTGTCCGCCAACTTCTAGGCACTTCCTCAGTGGTGCTTTCTGTGCTGTCTATGACACCGCCATGCTGAGCAGGACGGGGACGGGCTCTGCTATCTGCTTCCTGAACTCCAGCTCCTGCTTCACTTCCTTGTTGGCTGAGGTTTACAAGGAAGTCTATGCGACCAGGTGCATTTGGGGCCTTGGTCCTTCGAACTGATTTCTGGGTTGCAGAGTTGAGGTTACTGCACTCCCCGTTTTGCAGAGGAGGCTTAAGCTATCTGATCCCTCACATTTTCACAAGTCTTTTTATCACCTCCAGACATCAGTGGAGTACAATTCGTGGCTTTGTATGGACAGCTGAAATGCCTGAAGGGTTTTCTCCCCTTTTGGTTAAAATTGATTTTTTAAAAAAAATTAAAATCCATGGGGTAATTGTCAGAGTGTGCATCACAACATCCAGGAATGCGTATGCACCCCATCACTTTGGTGTCCCATAAGGCTGCCACAAATGAAAATGGCAACATTAGGACAAATTCCTAATGCAATTTGGCTCTTTCTCAGAAAGGAAATGGGATGGATTGATTAAACCTCCCCCTCCCCAATATGCTGTTTAGATTATGCAAAAGCCTGGAAGAATTATTATAATCTGGGGTGTTGTGGAACCTTAATTTTGGAATTTAGGCACAGTACTGTATACAGGTAGTCCAAAACTTACAATATTTCATTTAGTGACTGTTCAAAGTTACAACAGCACTGAAAAAAGTGACTTATGACCATTTTTCACACTCACGACAGCATTTCCATGATCATGTGACCAAAATTCAGAGGACTGAAGTCAGCTACACTGATTCACTTAACAAGTGTGGCAAGAAAGATCATAAAATGGGGCAAAATTCACTTAACAAATGTCTCACTTAACAACAGAAATTTCGAGCTCAACTGTCTCCATCGTGGGCCGCATCTGGCCCACAGGCCTTCAGTTTGACATGTCTGGTCTAGTACAGCAGTCCCCAACCCTTGTTGCTTGTGGGGGAGGGGGAGTGAGAGGAGAACCGGGCCGTGCAAGCGGCAGGCTAGCACACGCAGCTCAACTTCTGTTGAGTGGTGGGCCAGCGTGCACAGCTCAACTTGCGCAATTTGAGCTGCATGTGTACATGTGCGTGCCAGCCCACTGCTCACATGGCCCAGTTGCAAATAGGCCATGGCCCTGTAATAGGCTGCAGCCCAGGGGTTGGGAACCCCTGGTCTAGTGGTTAAGATATTCAGCTAGAAACCAGGAGACTCTGAGTTCTAGTCTCACCTTATGCATGAAAGCTGGCTGGGTGACTCTCTCTCAGTCCAACCCACCTCACAGGGTTGTTGTTAGGAAAATAGAAGGAAGGAGGAATATTAGGTATATTCACTGTCTTGAGTTATTTATAAAAAATAAATAAATATGCTGCTTTCTGCAGTGCTTTCTATGCTATAATAATTGGCTAGTTAATTAGTTCACATAGTTGGTTAGTTAGTTCACAAAAAATTAATTAATATTTATAAACCAGTGTCTAGCTATGCAGAACTTATTATAACTTAGAGAAATGCTTTATCCTTGCCTTTATGAATCCAGTTGCTTCAGATCAGATGCCAAAACCTCCACAAATGGTTTGCTCTGCAATAAGATTGGGCTTGTGTATCTGCTCAGGTCTTATAATCCACATATTTTTGTTAGTATCTTAGCTCTGGGACAATTCTTCCTTACTGTAAATATTTTCAATATCTTGCTAATACTTTATTGCATTTGGGTGAATCATAGCTATCATAATGCCAACAAATCCTGGTTGGGCTTCAGGAAGCAAAAGGCTCAATATAAGCTAGTGTAGCTTTACATTTTTGTGGTATCTTATAATAAATCTTAGTTCTTTTAGGCATTTATAGTTATCTAACTTAATTTATTTACAGCATTTAGACTATCAACTGTAATTTTATAGGCTTCTCCTTTGTTTTAATCCTTGTGCTTTGTAATTTTACAATAATTTTATTTTTATTTTATTTTATTCAATCAATTCATTATATATTTACTTCCATTTTAGTGTTTTAACCACCACACAAAAGTGCACTTCTAGTTCAAACCTGACCCAGTCAAAAATGAAGGGTTCTAAGATTGGCTTCTTTACAAAGCTTATGAACCACTTCCTCCTTCAACTCCTAGTGAAGGTTGCATTAATGGCTGAGCACAAATCTCAGGCGAGCCCCTCTAGCCAATACCAACCAAGATGGACTGCCATCTAGTTACTAGGCTCTGTAATCTACTGGGCTATGGCTGCTGATATTGGGAAGAGGAGAAAAGCAGCCCTGAAATAACCCCATTATCCAGGGGTGGGATTCAGCCTATTTGGTCCAGTTCGGGTGAGCCAGTTGCTCCGACAATCAACTGACAGCAAACTGGTTTGCTCCGACCGTCAGCTGGGCCTACCCACCCCTGTCCTATACCTACCTATATTTCGTTTGTTTGAAGCCCAGCTGATTGGGGCAGCAGAGCGGCTTGCTGCGCCTCAGCTGTTTCACTCACTGGGGCTAGTGGAAGGTAACTTTTAATGGTGTTTTGAAATGGACTGTGTGCGTGCGCACAGCACATGATTAATATGCATGTGAGCGAAATGCGCACTCAGAGAACCGGTTGTTACACCGGTTGAATCCCATCACTGCCATTACCTGCTGAGAGGAAAACCTTGCTGAGGCTGAGGGAATAGCACCTTTTATGTCCACATGCTTTCCTCCCATCCCAACACTGTTGCTGCATGCCAGACCCTAAAGGAAAGCTAATCTACAGAGAGAAAAAGTCCAGAACAGCAGAGGGGAAACAAAGGACTTTAAAACGTCAAGGGAGCGAAAGAATTCTCTATATGAATGTTTCCGTAAGACACTTCAGGGGGTGTTTGGCTTAGAGTGGCTGCCTGTTCCTGTTACTTGGCAGTTCCTAAATGGCTTTCCCCCCCTTTTTTTAATCTGCAGAATGACTTTCAAATGCCTTGTGCCTGCTTCCCAACCACAAAGAATTTTCTGGAATGTGATACATAACATCTCTTTCATCTGTGGGAAAAGAGAGCAAGGTGAGCGGAGGAGGGAAGTTTGTAGAGTGGCTAATTAAATCTCTTGCTGTATGGAAGCCAGAGCTAAAAGTGGCAACTTGGATGGTTTGAAATTAAGGATTGAATAAATCTGTCATCAAAAGCTTTATATGCTTTCATCAAGTTTCCATTACAGAATAAACAAACTCTCAGACAGAAATAGATGGGGAACATAGAGAAAGAGAAAAGCTTGGACATACATGGGAATAATATATACGTATTGTTTAAATAAGGACTTTACCAATTATATAAAATTTACTGTTTGTACTATCATCTACATTTATAATCCAAAGTTGCATCTTCACTCTATGCCCAGTTTGCTATGTCTTTATATTTGGATATTTATTTTAGTAGCCATAAATATATATAAGGCAGAAGAGTAGTAAAATATTCCAAGTGCTTCCAAAAGTGTGATTTAAAGCCATCCCTGCAATCTCCTCCCCGGGTTTTAGGGTACTATGGATTAACAAATCTATTATCAGATAAAAATTTGTGGAATTCAGTGTTTTAGGATCCATTAAGTTTCCATTACAACAAATGCAAATGAGAGTCTGATTTTCTTTTCTTGATCCTATTATATTTGCTATGGCAAATCTGAAAGTCAAGACAAGACTATTAAGTACCTGGGGAAAGGCTTCTGTCATCACTGAGGTAGTTCAAAAGATTTGAGCACACTATGTCACGCAAGACTGAACTTAATCTAACAATTTCCTTTTTATTTTCTTCACTTCTTTGTAAGTTTCTTAATTGTGCCATGTTATTTAACAAATTTGAAATTGTCTGTGATCCTTTTCATTGGAAGATCTCCACAAGTTGGCTCCAATTCAGTCTTGGCTTCCTAAGCAGACTGTTACTGTGCCCAACAATTCTGGCTCCCTGACATTTTCCCACACTCCTCCTCATGATAATATGAAACCTATCCTTTTAGTTACAGTTTTCCTCTCTGCATGGTCATACAATTTCTACATTTTTTCCACTTAATAATTTATAATTTAGTTCTTTTTCATAACCTTTGCTTTCTCCTGTTTCCCTGCTTAATGACAAGGAAAATAATGTTTGGTAATATTATTATACTAAATCTACATTACTATAAATAAATGAAAATCTTCTTTAACTTTATGTTTCCCAAACTGACCGCATGCAGTTCTGTTGCAATGTATTTATTTATTTGTTTGTTTATTCAATTTAAATAACTACAAAAAGTGACTCTGGGCAACATACAATTCTAATGCATAAAAACAAGAAATTAGAAAATAAACACCTATATTAGAAAAGAGAAAAGCAGAGTACCAGAATGAAATAAATAATACCATGAACATTAAAATATCCCTTTTTAAGCTAAAAAGCAGACTTGGAGTAAAAGAAGAAATTTGTTATTCCATACTTCCCCATTAAGCTCTAAGCAGCTTGTGGAGATGTGAAGAATTTTAATTAGGAAAATAATACTGTGGAGGCAAGCACATGCTCTTTTCCTAACATTGTTCTCTAAAGCTAATCTGAATAGTTTTTAAATGTTAATAAGAGCATTAGAAAATTTCCTTTACAATCCCATCTAATCCAACAAACTCTCCACTCAAGTCCATATGAGAATGTCAGACTTAGTGTCAGATATCTCAAAACATCATCTATAGTACTATTTTGCTCTTCCCAAACATACTAGTTGTGATGCATCCATGGTTGCCTAGGCAGAGTTGATGTTCTGAGCTTTTCCTGACTGGGCAACCTCAGCATGGTCACTGAAAAGCTCCAGGACAAAAAACATGCTACATCATGTCTGAGACTGCCCAATTGTCACACACAATACCCCAACCACTTTATCCCAACAGCATACAAATACATCAGCCAACTATCTACATTACCCCAGCAGCCTAAAATCAACAGAGGACTCAAAATGGTATTGTGCTTGAAGATGTATCTAATTAGTGAGACAGTATCCTGTATATTATACACTCACACCCTCTCCTCCCCCTACAGATTTAGCCTGCTACATCTTGAAATAATCCTAGTTAGGAAGGCTGAGTCCCCTCCTTTTGTCAAACCTGGTTAATTGCTGGCAAAACATCTAACTGACCTGGATGAAAGTGCTGATCTTGATCACTGACCTGACAGTAAAAAGATCTTTAAACTGAAGGATCTTTGCTATCATCAGGACTTCCTTGGTTACATTGCAACCTTTTATTTTCTTGACTATTTCTGTGATAAATACTATAACTTCTTTACTAATGATCAAGCACTAACAATTCTTTTGTCTTGAGACAACCCATAATTGATGGCATGTCATGAGAACTAAGAAGCATTCATTACATTCCAAACTCCAGCTTCAGGCATCTTTAACTTCAACTGACCTTCAAATGTCATCTGAAACAACTGATTGACAAACTACCAGGCATTATCAATATGTTTTCAGCTTTGGTCACTCCATTTAACAGCAGTCTATAATTTCTCACATTCCTTCAAGCATGCCTGATGGTCTCATCCTAACAAAACTTTAATTATTGTCTGACTTGGGCACTAAAACAAGGGTGACACACAAAGAAAGCCAGGAAATCTTGCAATTTTAGAAATGCCCCATTCCATCCTAACAAAGAGGGCAGTGTACTCAGAACAGGAAATGGAAACAAGAGGTTTTTTCAAAAGCTACAAGTGAAGAATGAAGAATTCAGAGTTTTTGTCAGATTCAACGTTTACAAAAATGACTTAATCTATAGTTAATTATAGTGGCAAGCACCTATATCTTCCAGCATTCCAGAAGCAAAGTATTTCACATCAGCAAGAACAAAAATACACTAATTCCAGAAGTGATGTAATTAGTGTAAGGACTTTACAAGAAACCAGGTCCAATGCATGAGCAAGGAGCCTGTCGTCTACTAGGTGCATATTGCTTCATCACATTATAATATCATAAGGGATGGTGCAAGGTTTCTATGAAGGAAGAAATTATAAAGGTCAATAGCATAAAATGTATATCTAGTTATCTATCTAGCAGGAAAGGAGAAACATGGGGGGAAATGTAGGCAACCAATCCTAGCTGGGTGCTTCATTTATATATTCCTGACTGCCACAGAAAACTAGCTTCCACAGCATTATAGAAGAGTGAGAATAGAATTGGTGTTTGGAAGTCTTTTCTGTCCAAACTTTTTCCAATTGTTTATAATTGTTTCTATCCTATGCTATGTTGCAATATTTGTGTTGTGATCCTTTTGTTCTGTTGCCTATGGTATTTATACATAATATTTTGAAGTGTTCTTCCTTTCCTTGTTATAAGTAAAACATTTTATGGTTTTTAAGTGAAAATATTTTAATTTTAAAAAATTTCGCACAGAATATTTAATAATTAATGGCTGCTTTAGAGCACATCTGCTGAGATTGTCACAATTAAGCTGCAGAATTCCTCTGAAATAAGATACCATTCAAATAAGTTTTAGAACCTTACATTGGACAAAATAAGTAAAAGAGGTATTTGTGTACAAGCAATCTGGCAGTAAATTTGATATTTGTCCCAGATATGAGCAAAATTTAGGGAAAAATTATGTTTTGTTAGTTCTCAGATAAATTCAATTTCACAGAATGATACCCAAGACTGTGTAAACATACCTGAACATATATATATGTATGTATGTGTGTGTGTGTACACACACGCACACACACATGCACACACACACACATACACACACACATATATACACACATACATACATACATATATACACACATACATACATACATATATATATACATATATATACATATATACATATATACATATATTTGTTTTCGTAGATTTTCACGGGTACAAGTATGCAAGACTTGGCATATTCAGGTCTTTTCTTGTGTAAGATTGAGAGTATCTTGGCAACATTTTGACGAGGTCCCACTCATCATCTTCAGGCTGGTGTCTTCGGCTTCGTGCTTGTGTGAGCACGCTTTGCTCACACAAGCACGAAGCCGAAGACATCAGCCTGAAGATGATGAGTGGGACCTCGTCAAAACGTCGCCAAGATACTCTCAATCTTACACGGGAAAAGACCCGAATACGCCAAGACTTGCATATACATACATACATACATACATACATACATACTCTCTCTCTCTCTCTCTCTCTCTCTCACACACACACACACACACACACACACAATATTCTCTACACAATCCTACTCTGCATTATGATATACAATATAAGCTAAGACCAACTTAACGCTTGCAGAAAAATATTACATGTTTATTCACCAACAGATACTATAGAGAGTGATAAGTAAGATGGAGGATATAAATTGTTTGTGGATGAGGTACAATAAGAGGGAAGCAATAACTTGCCCTCTCCCAGAAAAGCTGTTCAAGTAGATTCAATATATGATGCCAGAGTTGCAGTGCTAAAGAGAGTATTAGTCATCTGTGCAACAAATAATCAAAGAATTTCAGAAATTAAGAACTACACTTTAACCTTAACCCTGCTTTGTGTTATTTATACTTAAATATACTTTCAAATAAATTATGGTTTCCTCCTGCTCATATAGCAGATATCTTCAGGATTTTGTTTTTGTTTTTTACAGGGTGTGTCCAGTGGTGGGATCCAACTAATTTAACAACCGGTTCATCCTAAAGGCCGGGTGGGCATGGCTCAGGTGTGTGTCATGTGACTAAGTGGGCATGGCCAACTTGATGTCACTTACAGCAAGGTGGGACAGCATAGGCAGGCTGAAGCTAAGCGCAGCAAGCCCAGAGCGGATCTTTGTTCCCCGCTGTCAGCCTTATCTTCCAGCCCATGGGACTCGCACCATTCTCATAGCGCTAGCCCGACCGGCGAAGGTTGAGCTGGTGGCATTCTGGTGAAGGCCTTGGAAAAGGCCAGAGCCAGGGACTGGCATGCCCCCCAACCTGAGGTGACGGGCAAGCGTGCTTATCCCGAGGCAGCCCTTCGTCCAAGCGTCTTACCTTCGCGGGCAGCCACAGTGAGCAGAACGGGTGAAGCACGGAGATCAGCTGGCCCATGTGGTCTGAAGGAGCCAGAGAGTAGCTGGGTGTGGGCATGACTCTAGCCACCAGCCAAGGTGGGCGAAGTGAGATAGGGCGGGGTGAGGTGGGCTGGGCCAGCCAGTGGTGGGATTTGCCGGTTGGCCGAACTGCGCAGAATCTTAACAACTGGTTTGCCCGAACTGGTCCAAATCAGCTCAATCCCACCTCTGGATATGTCTGTATTTACATTATTTAAGCTCCAGGACACAGTATTGTCTGCTTTTACTTTTTCATATATATCATCATTTTCTCATGCTTGAATAAATCTACCTACAGTTAGCACAATTATTATTTGATTACAGTTAGATAATTCGTAATCAACTTTTAATTCTATGTATTTAGTACTTCTAATGGTTTCTCTTTCAAACATGTGACTGACATGCTTTGCTAGAAATTTATTCTGCTAAACACAATTTTTTTTCTGGGCTCTTCTACTGAAATAAACAATTATCCCCATACCTTCTTCTTGTTAGCAGGGCAGATGTAGAAATTTTCAATGACTGTAACAATTCCAGGCTGTAAGTTTAATTTAGTATATAATGTTCCAAAATCTGACGACCTGGGAGACAAGAAAAAACAAAAGTGGCATTCTGATAATCTGCATGTATTTCCAACTGTGATAACTGAGAAGTGTTCAGGCCACGAATTATATATTTGGCAACTAAAATAAATTCAAAAATTCATGCAAGAAGGAAACCAAAAGGACTGTAATTTTTTTTACAAAATATCCCCTCTGAAAAACAAAAACATTTAATTTATCAGAAGAAAGGTAAGTTCTACAACAAAGAATAAAATTTATCAAGCACAAGTTTAAAAAGGAAAATCCTAAAAAGACTTTAAATCTAGCTACCACACAAAACATTTTAATTTAAGTACTACATTCAAAATGGACAGTTAGACGGACTTTTAATTTAAAACATACAAACAGAAAACATAACTTTACAAATAGTAAAACACATAGTAAAACATTTTTCTTTCTTTTTTTATTAAAAAAAATAAGTAAAACATTTTTCTTCGAAGAAATTTTGCTTCACATTCAAGAAGCTTCTTCAGCTTTCAAAGAAAAGCCAAAAAATCCAGTTGCCTCTTGAAAAAATATCTTTGGGACAACCATGACCTGGATGACTGAGAATCTCCATAGACAAATAGTAAAACAAAAAATAAAACTGTTGGTCTTTAAAGGCTTAGCTAGAAAGATCTGCTTTACAGATTTCCTAAAAGCAGAAAGAATGAGAGATAAACACAACTTGTGATTTCTTTTCTTTTTCACAGCTTTCAATTTGCAGAATATATTTTCACTAATCGTAAAATAATACAGAAAATTCTTTGACATTGGCAAAAAGGCATTAAGAGTGGTTAACTTTATCTTGTGTAGCTTCTTCTTTAGTAATATTGTACTACTAACTAGAGCATACAAAACATTTGCTAGACCAATTCTTGAGTACAGCTCATCTGTTCAGAACCCGCACTGCATATCGGACATAAATACAATCAAGAGAGTCCAGAGATATTTTACGAGAAGAGTCCTCCATTCCTCTACCCGCAGTAAAATACCTTATGCCACCAGACTCCAAATTTTGGGCTTAGACAACTTAGAACTACGCTGATTTCAGTCTGACCTAAGCATAGTACATAAAATTATCTGCCACAATGTCCTACCTGTCAATGACTATTTTAGCTTCAACCACAACAATACACAAGCAAATAATACATACAAACTCAAGGTAAATTGCTCCAATCCCAATTGCAGAAAATATGACTTCAGTAACAGAGTGGTCAATGCCTGGAATGCACTACCTGACTCTGTAGTTTCTTCCCCAAACCCCCAAAACTTTAACCTTAAGCTGTCTACTGTTGACCTCACCCATTCCTAAGAGGTCTGTAAGAGGTATGCATAAGTGGACCAGGGTGCCTACCGTCCCTGTCCTAATATTCCTTTTTACTTACTCTTTTCATGTATTCAAATTATGTTTATACTTTTACCTGTTATCTTATATATGCTTGACAAAATAAATAAATAAATAAATAAATAAAATAAACTATGTAATATTGGTGCAAGAGATTATTAGTCTGTGTGAGACTGATACACATCTACTATTCTTCTTAAGCTGCTGCTCTTTTGTTTTGGCTTTCTTAGCTTTCTGTTAAAAAACAAAGTTTTCTGGGGCATGCTCAGCAGTGACACTTTTAATTCTCAAGGCTGTTTCCATAGGAGTCCTGGTATTCTGTGAGGTTGCCTGCAGATGTTTCATTACTCAACTACCATATCAGTGGTAGGTTTCAAATTTTTTTACTACCAGTTCTGTGGGTGTGGCTTGGTGGGCATGGCAAGGCTTGGTGGGCGTGGCTTGGTGGGTATGGCAGGGGAAGGATATTGTAAAATGTCCATTCCCACCTCAATCCAGGGGAAGGTTACTGCAAAATCCCCATTTCCTCCCGATCAGCTGGTACTTGGGAGGCAGAGAATAGATAGAGGCGGGGCCAGTCAGAATTTTTACTACTAGTTCTCCAAACTGCTCAAAATTTCTGTTACCGGTTCTCCAGAACTGGTCAGAACCTGCTGAAACCTACCTCTGATTCTTACTTTTCTAGCCATCTGCTGTGACCCAAGGTATTTTTTTCATTAATGTATTTATATCATTTATTCATACTTTCTTTATACCAAGTCATACTTGACATGCTGATTTTAGACTGACTCTTATGTCACTCTAGATGCCACTGATTCATACTTTTTGACATACACCTGAGTTTTTAAATTCATAATAAACCCTACACCTTCACTTCCTCAATTGAATTGAGGAATACACTACGCATGTATTACCCAATACCATTCTATGGGATCAGACCCCACTTTATTTTGATCTATTTTATTTACATCCTTCCCAATTTTAAGACACAGATCTTATCTATTTTTCTTTCATTTGTTTCACTAGTAGTTTATCCTTTTTAGCATGTATTCCCCTTATTTTCCTACTCTCAATTAATTAAGTACAATAAAATTCTTAAATGATCAAGGTACTTGATAAAAGCATGGCGATTTGAAAAGGCCTTTAGATAAGTCTTCCCTCTGGGTTCACATTGTTTACTGCTATTAAGTTGTTTTTCAAGAATAATTATATTTGTCAGCATAATATATTGACATCAGTTTCGTACAGCTGCTGCTCTGGGGAAGGCTTGCTTTATTGAAATATGCTATTAAAATATGTTATTTAAATATATGCTTTAAGCAATTACATGATGTTTACCTTTTTAAATCACACTGAATGTATCTTTAATTCATGTATATATTCATTTATAAATGTGAAATATTTAAATGCATGTTATCCCAAAGTAACTATTCTAAAGGTATCCTGATATTTTAGGCAAACTATTTGGAAAGTGATGGGTACATAGGCATTCTCACATTGTCTTTTTATTTATAACCAGTTATATTTTATATTTTGTTTTTTCTAAGATCATTTCATGTAACATGCTGTGTTACATCACACCAGTGGTGGGTTTCAAAATTTTTACTACCAGTTCTGTGGGTGTGGTTTGGTGGGTGTGCCATGGATTGGTGGGCATGGCTTGGTGGGCGTGGCAGGGGAAGCATACTGTAAAATCTCCATTCCCACCCCACTCCAGGGGAAGGATACTGTAAAATCTGCATTCCCTCCCCACTCCAGGGGAAAGTTACTGCAAAATCCCCATTTCCTCCCTATCAGCTGGGACTCAGGAGGCAGAGAATAGATGGGGGTGGGGCCAGTCAGAGGTGGTATTTACTGGTTCTCCGAACTACTCAAAATTTCCACTACCTGTTCTCCAGAACTGGTCAGAACCTGCTGAAACCCACCTCTGCACCATATGTACATCTTCAGAGCATTGATGATGTTACTTAGTTGATAATGAAATATCTGCAAGGAAACAATGAAACTGAGAAAAACCAAGGATTCTGTAGTTCAATCCTGAGCTTTTTATTTATTTATTTATTTAGAAATTTATAAATTTTGGGTTGACCCAAAATTTATGGGACACATTAAAAGCATATATTAGAGGGTTGACAATTGCATATATGGCAAAGAAAAGAAAAGAGAAAAAGTCCAACAAAATAAATTACAGGAAGAATTTAGAAAATTAGAAGGAATTCTACAGAAAGACCCTCAAAATAAAAAAAGTAAAAGAGGACTGGAGAATGGTTAAACACAAACTAAATTTGATAACCCAAGAAGAAATTGCTATGAAAATAAAGATGGCAAAACAAAATTATTTTGAACATGCAAACAAAATAAGTAGATGGTTAGCCTATAAATTAAAAAAGGAGAGGGATAAAAGAATGATACAATGTTTGAAAGATGAGGAAGGAAAAACCCAATACAAAAAAGAAGACAAGAAAAGAATAATTCATACTTTTTTCTCCAAACTATACACACAGGAAGAAAAAATAGAATCAGAAATTAAAACATATTTAGAGGAACTAAATGTATGTAAACTTATGGAGGAACAGAAAGACGCAATAAATCGACCAATCTCTGAAATAGAACTTGGATTTGCAATAAAAAGGCAAAAAATCAATAAAACACCTGGACCAGATGGAATACCAGTAGAACTATACAGGATAACACAAAAACAGACAGAAGGATTAACGATGGAAATATTTAATGAAGCATTACAACAATCCAATATTCCCCAAACATGGACAGAAGCTTTAATCACACTTATACACAAGGAAGATTCGGACCAGCAATTATAGGCCTATTTCACTACTAAACTCTGATTACAAAATATATATGTCAATCATTGCTGCAAGTTTAAAGACAATTCTAGATAAGTTTATACACCTAGACCAAAATGGTTTTTTGCCTGGCCAACAAATTAAAAATAATTTACAGATTATAATTGATATTTTAGAGTTCTACGAAGTCCACCCAGAGAAACAGGTTTCACTGGGTTTCCTTGATGCCCAAAAGACCTTTGACAATTTGAATTGGAGTTTTATGATACAACAAATTAAAAAGATGGAATTTGGATTAAAATTTGAAAAAACGATTGAAAAAATTTACTCAAAACAAACTGCAAGGGTAATTATTAATCAGGATATAACAAATAAATTTGAGATTACTAAAGGATGAGACAAGGTTGCCCACTTTCCCCACTTCTCTTTATTCTATCATTGGAGTCACTCTTAACAAAAATTAGGGAAGATTGAGAGATTAAGGGATTGAAGATAAAAAATGAAGAGTATAAATTGCAAGCCTTTGCAGATGATTTGGTTTTTGTAATCGAGGAACTTCTACAATCAGGCCCCAAATTGATTTTAAAAATAGAGGAATTTGGCGTAGTGGCAGGTCTAAAAATTAACCAAAAAAATCTAAATTGCTAACAAAAAACCTTACTAAAAGACAAGAGATAGAACTGAAGAATACTACAGATATTCAGATAACAAGGAGAATAAAGTACTTAGGGATTTGGTTAACAGCAAGAGGTTCCTCAATCAAAAAAGATAATTATGATAAATTAATGCTGCAAATTGGGAAAGATTTAGAAAATTGGAAGAACCTTCAAATTTCATGGATGAGAAGA